CGGCGGTTGGGCGGCCGACTTCGGCTCAGGTCATGATCTCGCGGTCCGTGAGTTCGAGCCCCGCGTCGGGCTCTGTGCTGACAGCTCAGAGCCTGGAGCCTGTTTCAGATTCTGTGTCTCCCTCTCTCTGACCCTCCCCCATTCATGCTCTGTCTCTCTATCTCAAAAATAAATAAACATTTAAAAAAAAATTTAAAAAAAAAATAAAAATAAAAATAAAAAGGCTATGAAAATACTCCTTCCTTTTCCAACCACATAACTGTATAATGCTGGATTTTCTTCATATACCTCAACCAAAACAACATATTACAAGATTGAATATACAAGTAGATACGAGAATCAAGCTGTTTTCTACTTAACCAGACAGTAAGAGACTTACAAAAATATGTAACAGTGTCACTCTTTTTGCTTAAGATTTGTTTTGGAAAATAGTTGGTTTTGTTTTGTTTTATTTTATTAAATTGATGTCATCATAACAAGTAATGGTTTATGGTTTTTAAACAAACTGATATTTAAAATTTTCTAATATGGAAAATAAAATAAATATAACCCACAAAAACCAAAGCTCAGTGAAGTTCTCAGTAATTGGTAAGAGTATAAATGGGTCCTAAGAACAAAAAGTTTGGAACAGTTGCCTTAGGTCTACTACTATTATTTGTAATTATACTATGCTATAATAGAGTGAATTTGCCAAAGGACAAATGCAATGTATAAGGCACACTGTCCCAAAGCAAGTTGTCTGAGACTACTCTATTTCCTAAGTTATTCAGTCTTCTCTCCGTTTTCATACTCCTCTGGATAACACCAAAGGTCATATTTCACAGGCTGCCTTTTTCACTCCTTCTAGTACAGCAAAAAGCCAGCAAACCATTCACTAAATACCAAAAATGGGCTCTGAATAAAGATGTCCCTAGAACTGATGTCCCCAAATATTACACACCTATTTTGATTACTTGTCTTTTTATTTTCTACTTTTTCATACTACATTCTATATACGTAAAATCATGAACAATCTCCAGATAGTATTGTTTACTAACTTAATTTTTAGATAATCTATTGTCTTACGTACTATAATTTATAAAGCCTGCAAGCTTTATAAAGCTTCAACCAGTGGTACCTGGAACAAAATTTGAAGTGACAAGAATTAAGTGATGATAGATTTCCACTGTGCTTATTTCATAAAAACAAAGGAAGGCAATTTCAAAATTTTAGGACAGAAAAGACATCTAACTTGAGAGGTAGGACAGAAAGGAAAGGAACAAAACGGAGAAGAAAAACACAGAGATACAAGCTTGTATGTTTTAAGAGGTCAAAAGCATAATCAAACAAGAAGGTATAGGGGTTTGTACAGAGTCTTAATACAGTCATTAATCTGATGTTATCTGAACAGGTAATTCCAGGGGTATTCAAAAAACAAACAAAAAAAGAGTTCAGTAAACATAAATAAAAACAAAATATATTAATGAGCATCAGGTTAAAACACTGGCATGTAAACTGAATAGGAATGCAAAAGAGATACTTACAATTAAATGGGGCATATAAATTTTTTATTTTTATTTTTTTTAAGTTTTTAAATTTATTTTGAGAGAAAGAAAGAGCACACAAGCAGGGGAGGGGCAGAGAGAAGGAGAGAGGATCCCAAGCAGGCTCTGTGCAGTCAGCACAGAGCCCGAGGCGGAAACTGAACTCACCAAACCTGAGATCATTACCTGAGCAGAAACCAAGAGGATGCTTAAGCAACTAGATCTACCCAGGTGCCCCCAAATAAATTTTTTTCTACTATATTGTGAACAGTTTTCTTAGGTGATGAGCATGGACTCCAAGTTTAGAAAACAGGAGAGGGACAACATACCAAAAAACAACAGCTGAACATGGAAAAAATAGGGGAAGTCAATGAACTGAACCAGAAAAATAGGAAGCTAAAGAAATTAGAAAAGAAAGCCTAATAATAGCTTTTTTACAATTAGGAAACATAAGACTGAGCAGAAAGCTAAAGGTAAATCTGAAAAATGAGTGTAGCATGGGGTCAAGAGTTAGTGATGAAAGGCATCAAGAAAGAAACAAAAAATGTGGAGTCAGGGGATCAGAAGCGCTGAGCTTATTTCCTTACAAAATTCAAAAGTATGTATTATAGAGCCTAATTCATGTACATATTTCTATGGCAAGAGCAAACTGTACATGCAAAAACTGAATCATCTATTTTGAACAGCAAAGCACAAGTACAATTAATGTTGTCAGGAAAGGAAAAGAGAAAGACCTCTTTAGAAGAAAAGCACCTAACAGGGAAATAGATGGGCAATGGAAAGAGTCAAAATGAAAAATGCAAGCAACAAAGCATGCTTAAAAAGAATCTGGCTACATAGCACTCACAAAAAAGAAAATTACTTTGCTATCCAACATCACTAAAATTCTGCATAAAGCCAAATACTTTGTAAACACTGCCATAATCTATTCTAAACCCAAACAGCTTAGACTCTAAATTGTTACCTATAAACATTTAAAATAAATACTGAAATATGCACCTAATTTTCTGAAATTATTGTTTCTTTAAGTTATCATTTACTACAAAGAGTTCAATATCACTATTGAATTAAAAGAAGTAAATTTAGACATTTATTAATGATATATGTACAATTTCTCTAACTAGTTATCACTTCATTAAGAAACAGAATGCAATAAAAATTTGGTTTCCATACTTGAACCACTGTAAGCTTTTCATACAAGCGTGCAATAGTTTCACCTCAAATAGCAGATGGACTTCATACTATGTGAATTAATTAGTTGAAGGATTAAGTTTATCACTATTGAAAACTCCTAAGCACCTTCTATAAAGAGTGCCATGAAATATGTATCTTGGGCAATGTAAACAAAACCTTTGGAAGTACTCTAGATTTGCCAATTTAATCTAAGAAAACCCATAGAATGCTAAGAAGAATACTCAAAATGAAAGGTCACTTGAAAATATTTTAACTGATTATCATCTTTCTTTAACCTCTTTTCACACCATGATCACATTTTAAACAAGGATTTGAAAATATATACACTTTGACAATAGCATAAAGCTTAAAATTCATTAAGTTAATTCGGGACTAAACTAACAAAATTCTCAGTAAACCACAAAGTAAATTTTGCCTTTATGGGACAAAAGGAATCAAAGGTTCTATAAAGGTGAACATTTCACATTTTTAAAGTGTGCTGTCTGTATCTAAACTTACTTCTGATCCCTCAAAAAAAAAAAATCAAGAACTTGATCTAAAAACAGGGTTTTAAGCAGTCATTTTCAAGTGCTACTATACTTTTCACTTGTAAAATTTACTAATGCAGAGAAACATCTTCACAAAGTGATAATTCTCTATAAAAGACTTGCTCTATTAAGGCTCTGTTGCTCTGAGGCCAAGTATAAGCCATATAAGGAAAATGAAGTTCAATGCCATCTATTTTCTTCTGCTCTTTCAGATGCCCAAGAATAACCTCTCTCCTTGCCTAACATTACGTTCCAAAATTATAAAGCAGATCAGTTATACACTTTAAATTCCTTGATAAAGCTACTTGGACCTAACAGGAATGACCTGATGGTTCACAATCTTACCAATACAAATAAATAAAACAAACAATAAATTTTTATAAAGGATCTCCAGAGACTACACTCTGGGGGAACAAAATCACAATATATATTAACAGACAGTCAAAAGACTCCCATTTTGAAATGTACTTAACATAATAACAAGTTGTGAAATTATTTGATCCTGCTCTCCAAAGCTATCTTTTCTCTGAACTAAAGAATGCCAACTATTTTTCATGGGGTAGCATGAGCAAACTAGATATTAATTTATAGCTGAAATATAAATACCAACAGGATGCCAGACGTATTCAATATTTATTCGAAAGCACAGTATTACACCTCCTTTAACACAAAAGTACTGAGAAAAAAATATATAAGCCTAACAAAACACCAATAAAGAAGCCAATTGTGTTTGTTGCGAAGAAACTCCGTTTTATCTATAAAGACTACCGATTGGTTTAGAAGTGTTTGTAACTGACTGGCGGAATGTCTCCCATGCTTCACTAATTCCTGCCCCCAGAGTAGGTACCTATCACTTATTAGGCAGAACCGGCCAAAACATTTGGGCCAATACCAAAATGTAAACACTGTACTATTCAAAAAGGACAGATGTTTATTACAATCAATATGACTCCCATGAAAATCGTTTTAAGCATTTTACTTCCCTTTCTATACATTCTGGTCTTAACTGCAGAGAAACCCTAACAGATCAAACTACTTTGTTCTTTAATTACAACTCTATCCGTAATACTTAACTACTCTCCCCTACTCCTACTTAGGTCAGTTATAAGAAAAATTAAGCAGACGCTTGCTTTCGATTAATTAACCAAACAAGTATTATATGACTTGTAAGTGTCTGAAAGGAACCAGTTACTGAAGAAAGACATTATCCACCTAAAAAAACACAAAGAATAGCAAAGTTCATTTGTTTATAAAATCCAACCAAATACATCTCTAAGGGCTGAAACTAAAACAACAACTATATATATAATTAACGCAAAAGTCAAATAATCGGTAACAGGATAAACAAATGTGGCAGCCATCTCATCAACAGTAAATCCGTCGCTGCAGAGACCTAACTTTTTTCCAAAACACAAGTTGCCAGGTTCAGCAACTTAATAAATAAAAACTATACATTGCGTATGTTCTAGGAAACTAAAACTTCTGGACCTAGTGCTGAACAAAGGCACTCTTTCTTCCGATTGCTCAAAACTTTTCGTCTCACCACATTCTTACGATCTCTTCTAAAGTAACCAGAGTCCAGATGGTAGAAAGGAGGAAAAATCAGTTCTACTCTTTAGCACCTGAAAGACTATCCAGTCCGACACTACAAAAGATTAATCTAGGGCAACTTGGGAAGAAGTGAGAAACACTAAAGTATCCTCTCTTTCCCGGCCCAAGAGCTTTTTAACTCTTAGACGCTTTTCGTGAAAATTACCTTTCGGTCGGGCAGTGTCTCAGGGCAGCTTTTTCAAGGCTTCGCCTGACATGATTTCCTTCCCTTCACTAGTCACTTTGGATCCAGCCGAATTTCTCTCTCCGGTGAGAGCGGATGTGGAGTGGCCTCCCGCAGTAGGACGAGTAGGTGGCTTTGGAGGGGGTTGGGAAACGCGCCGGTTTCCTGGTCTCGAGTTATGCAGGAGTTTCCCAGCCCCAACTAGGATCTCCGCCGAAAAAAAACTTTTCACTCGTGACACCGCCCGGAATTACCGTGCGAAACTCACTTCCTGCCTTGGCGCAGAAGCAGAATCCAGCTCGGTCCAGGGGAACCCGGAAAACCAGCTCCGCGCGCGCCGGGGAGGGGGAGGGCACGGGGCCTCAGCCGAGAGCCTCGGGCTCCGGGCTCCCGGCGCGCCCCGCACACCCGACGGCGGCGGAACCCGGCCGGCAGGGGCCAAGATGCCGCCGGGGCGCTGGGCGAGCCTCGGCCGCGCTAGGCCGCCAGCTCCTCCTCGCCGCCGCCCCCAGAGCCGGGCGGCGGGGTTATTGTCTCGATAGAGCCTGCCGCGCCCTTCGCCCGCGCCGCCGCCGTCGCCGCCGCGGCCGCCCGGGGCCGGAGCCGAGGGCCGGGCAAGCTCGAAGGCGGCCCCCTCCCCGGGCAGTCTGTCGGGCCGTCCGTTCTTCAGTCCGTCCCTCCCCGCCTTTCCTACTTGCCCTCGAACCCTCTTCTCCTCCCTCTCCCGTTTTCCCGCCGCCGTC